CGACGACAACAACAAGCAGCAGCAAGGAGAAGAAGGATCACCATAGATACGGCTGAAGCTACATTCAACATGATCCCTAGCGTCAGCATCGCCACAACCATCACCATCCACATCGTCGGTTCAACAACAACACCGTCTGTATTGCAACAGCACCATAGCCAGCATTGCGCAAACAAGTCTCCATACTTTCCTTGAGGGTTCCTTCACTATCTGTATCACTGTCGACAACTTCTAGCTAATCATGACGACTGGTGTCCGACATTGAGCTTCTAAGCTCGAGTGTCTGGCAGTTGCTTAGCGTGGCTTCTGTAATCTTGGAGCCTTAAGAATTAGAGTAGGGTTTTGGGATGTATTCTACTAGAATTATAGTAAGGGACACCGAAAATAGCATAGGTAATCATTAAGCCCTCCATATTGATCGGTCTCCCAGGGAACCGGGAACTCTCAGATTACCCGCATGCCGAGAGATGGACAGATGCACAATTGTAATCACAATCCACAGGAAACACCCTAAACCCTAAACCTGTGGTTGAGCCTTTGACTTCTCAAACTACCCACCTATTGAAATCTCCGCAATCCTAGACCCCAAACACCCCCCCCCCTTTCCATCAGAAGCATGCTTCCGTGCACCTTTTGGTGAAAGAAGATGTCAGTGCCGAACAACTCTTTCGCTTGCGGGCTCTCGATGAAGCCCCATCCCTTGCCTGTAGGCAACAGGTTTAGAGTTTAGGGTTTGGGCTTTCCCGACCAGCCGCGTGCTGCTGGCAGTGGTGCTCGGTAGTTAGACAGCACCCACCCACCAACCCACCCCACCCACACACACGCGCCCACAATATCTCACAGTCAGGAGGAGCAGCACCATAGCAAGCTCAACAACAGGTAGAACGAGAACCACAACCAAAACTAGATGGACTATAGTGTCGACGATGATGGCAACACACCCGGCATCGACAAACTCACCAGTCGCACCGATGGAGATGGTGACTCACAGGGATCAAGGCTTCTTAAGTAGGACAGTGTCGGAAGCCGAAGCTGCCTCTGTCAGATGACTCCAACAACATTACAACTTTCACGACTTCCAGAAGAGCAGGCTTGGCAGTTTCGAGAATTCAACGACACAACTCAGAATTGGAAACCCGGTTTAGGGTTTAGGGTTTCGCCTAACGGAGGCACACCGAGGTGTGAAGCTTATTCTGTTTAGAGGGTAGGGCCTGGCACGCTGAATTGACTTGAAACTAGGCCACAGCAGGGCAATGCAAGCAACGCGTGTGAACCTAAACCTTACTCCAAACCCTAAGCCCTAAACCCTATAAACCTTAATCTGCGACTCCAAGAGGTATCCCACAGTGCCTGGGTTGAACGACGAGACTGTGCCAGAGAAGCTCCTGGGATCGTGCATGCGGCTAGACCCAAAACCCTGGAAAATTCGTGGGGGGGGGATGGTTTTAGGGTTTAGGGGTTAAGTTTATGATGACTATGGCTATAACTACTATGATCATTATTTCTTCAGATAGTCCTTGCATTGAGGAGCCTTGGCTCTGGGGGACTTTCTTCGAGTCTACTGGTTTCTGCAACTCCCATATAGGGAAACTCTAAACCCTAAACCCTAAGTCCAAAGTCCTAAACCCTAAACCCGAAGTCCTGAACTCGAAGTCCTAAACCCTAAACTGTAAACTTTGAATCCTAAACCCTACACCCCAAGTCCTAAACCCTAAACCCTAAAGTGGGTCGTTTCTGCAACCCCCACTATGGGACTAGGGCTACGAGAGTGGAGCTCCCCCTGGGACCCTTCACTTACGCCGGAGCCGGCCCCAGAAACGTGGATCCTAGACCGCCACAGTCGTATCGATGCATTATTATTATTGTTATTATTATTATTGTTTATTATGATCATTATTATTATTGTTATTCTTGTTTTTATTGCTATTATTATTAATAATATTAGCAATATTATTCTTATTACTAATATTTTTAAGGTTATGATTAGTATTATTAGTATTAATATCGGCAGTATCATTATTGTCAAGAATCGCTTACCTCAACCTCCAACCCAGAACCCACGAAGCCAAAAGAGGCCTCGATTCCCACAGATCTGCCGAGAACTCCGTCGGCTGCTAAGCCCTAAACCAGCTTTAACTAACTTGAGGCCTGGGGCAGGAGGTGATCAGGTGAGTAAGCTTTTTTCTTCAGGTGCGCGGATGGTTCGAGCCTAATAGCCTAAAGGTCCTAATTGCGAAACTTCAACCCATCCCACAACCCGAAGGAACAAGTCAAGAGATCGAGACCCCGCCCCCCTTAACCATAAACCCCAAGCCCCAAGCACCAAACCCTAAACCCTAAACCCCAAACCCTAAACCCTAGACCCCAAGCCCCAAGCACCGAGCCCTTGACACGAAAAGCCCCTGCACGGACAGAGCCCAGGATCTGCCCTGCCGCCGCGCTAATCTCGCAAAACTTGATGTTGATGGCATGGGGCCTCGAGACGTTTTGAAGAAGAAGATTCGGAGGTTAAGGATTCAATAGCGGTTTTAGCAAATGTCTGGGTCTAGAGTCTAGAGCTTGATGTGTTTCGTGTGTTGGGGCGGGGATGAAGGAGCATCGGAATGGTCATGGAGAGTCATGATTCAACCCTAAACCCTAAACCCTAAAACCTGTCTAAACCCCAATGATTCCCGAATAGAATCCGGGGGATTGGGACTCAGGCAGGTCGGGTTCTATTGGTTCTTGTCGTCGCTGGCATGTGGCGTCGGGCTTAAGGGTTTGTAGCTACGGGCTTTGGTGAAGCCAGCGTTCAGGTTTCATTAATTAAGGTGTATGAGTTTAGGGTTTAGGGTTTGGGGTTTCGGGTTTAGGGTTTAGCGTTTAGGGTGTATGGGTTTAGGGGTTTTTAGGGGCTTTGCGTTTAAGCGTGTGGGAATACGTGACTGAGGGAAGTAGGTAGGCCCGGGTCGGCTTCAGAGTTTAGCTTGGTGTATTCTCGGAGTGCATCGCCAATCGAGTACCGAGCACCCATCTGACAGTAGAGACGGGCTTCCACCCAAAACCCTAACCCCAAATCCTAAACCCTAAACCCCAAATTATTCTTATACTTTCTTGCTGCAAAATATTCCCTAAAACATGCACCAACATAAGTATTAAGACTTGGGGTTTCGGATTGCGCTCTAAGGCTTCGGGCAGAGGGGCAGGGTTCCGATTCAGCCCCGTTTCGGTTCTATGGTTTCGGGCTTAGGGTATAGGGCTTAGGGATCATGAAACACAGAAGGATGCAACTCGTTGCCAGTCAACTTCACTTTGGGCTGAATGCCAGGGGCGCCTAATCCTATAAACCCTAAACCCTAAACTGATGAAGCAACCGCCCCTCAAAACTGGGAGGCTGGAGACCCACAGCACCAAGACCCAAAGGAGAGCAACCTCGACCCGGAATCGAAAATGCCAGGCTCCCTGCCCTTTGTGTCCTGCTGAGACATTGAAGGAGACCTCACACGCAGAATGGCGCTTACTTGGTTTAGTGCTCCAAGGCGCGGCGCTCCGACGCGTTTTAAGCTAAATCCCGCTTTAAATGCTGATCCCTAGAAGCCCTAAAGTAGGGTCCCTTTTTGAGTCCCCATCCTAAACTCTAAACCCTAAACCCTATAAGCCCTAAGAACAAGTCCAGGAAGGCTGAACCCTGCGAGCCCCGAAAGCCATGCAGCCTGATCCCTGAAGAACCCCACGAAATCATGGCATCCCGAACAAACTAAATACGGGGCGCTTGTTAGTGGATTTTATATAAGTTGCCATAATGGGGATCTATGGTAAATAATTTGGTTTCTTTATTATGGCAACTTTGATTAAAATCCCCTAACAAGAACCCCGGATAGAAACCCTGTAGAACCGGCCCTGTGCGCTGCCTCCGCGCCGGCAGTGGCCCCTGGTACTTCCGCCATGCTCCTCAGGAAAACTCTCTGGGCCTTTTGATAGCAAGGGTTTAGGGTGTAGGGTTTAGGCTCTGGGCCTTTTGAAAGCAAGAAAAACGGCGGCACGGGGTCGACTTCGGCGGTTCGGGGCTTTCTTTGTAAGCGCAGTTGCCCTTTTTGTCCTCCGCGCGAGACTCACTGGGTTTAGGGGTTGAGCTTTTAGGCTTTTAGGGTTTAGGGTTAAGGGTTTAGGGCTTAGGGTTTAGGGTTTAGGGTGTCGGGGGTTGAACTTCAAGCTCATGGTACGCTTCGGCTTAAAGCCAATCCTTTGGTTCGGACGTTTCTGATGGTTCCATGGGGGTTGGGAGGTGGATTGTATCCTATCGACGAAAGCTTCCTAGAAAACGAACAGAGTCCAAACCTTCAAGCACTGCAGCCGTACTGTTACTGCACATGCATAGTTAATAATGTGTGTACATATATATATCTCTTTATCTATAGACACACACACACATACATGTATACTCTGTGCCAGCCAAAGCACGTGGGGAGGACGAAGATGTCGGCCTGCCAGGGCTTTCGGGTTTGGCACTGTGGGCCTCTTGGGTTTGAGTGAGGCTTTAAAGGTGGGGCTTTGGGGTTGCTAGCTACTCACAGTTGCTTTTTTGTGGCACTTTCCGCAAGTCTTGCAGCATGCTGCTCTTTGTCGCGGTCATCTTGCGATTGATCGGGATGCCAATAAATAGTATAAATAGTTAGTAGCGATTGCACTCGAAGCAGTCGTCGTGGTGGCAGCAATGCCACCGTTCAAGCCCGAACCTGGTAAGTACGGCCATTCAACTCGATCGACGCCCTGGCGCGGCGATCAGCCACAAATCCAGTGTATGGGTGAGTGTAGCGAAGCCGGCCCCTATCAATGAATGTCAGTGCCTTGAAGAACCGTGCACTGAGAACCTTGAAAACATCACAAGGAACTACTGCCATCTTAAAATTTCTTAAGGCCAATCCGAATTCTGCGAGCCTTTCAACAAGCCTAAAGGCAGTAAACTCGAAAACGGCCCTGAAACTTGAAAGCCTCAGCCTTTAACCATAAAAAACCACAGCCTTGCCCAGAAACTTCTCAAGGGCTTTGCAGGTGATATGGCCCCAGCCCTTCTCCTTCCGGGACGTCTGCTGGGAGGCAGATGTATTCAGGGTTTTGTGCTTTAGGGCTTTAGGGGTATAGGCTTGTGGAGGTAAGGGTTTAGGGGTTTAGGGCGGTAGGGCTTCAGTGTCTTCGGCTCGTGGGGTGTGGAGTTAAGGCTTCAGGGTTTTGGGTTCAAGGGTAAGCTCTCGGATATTGTGGAGTTCGGGGCTTAGGATTTTAGGGTGTAAGGCGCGTCTGTAGATACTGCATGTTCCATACGAAGGGATATGCATACATGCATATATACATATACATTTGTGTATACGTATCTATATATATATATATGTATGTATCAAATCGGTTCATACCGTCATATCATAACATATCACGTACATACCCAGACGCACAGTCACTCACGAACAACACAGATGTCAACAACCATTCTTTTCGGAGCATTTCTAAAATCAAGTGCGACTTCGTTGTGTTTGGGCTTTGGGGGGAGTGGGTGTCGCGTTGACGCCCGATGAAAGAAGAGAGGGCAACACGACGGTGCTTTGAGCTTCATCTGGGGGTGAAACCCTCAACCCAAAACCCTACGATTGTTCCAAAGACTTCTTCATGCAGCGCTCTTTCACTTCCCAGTCTTCGGGTCTTAGATCTTCGAACACGCAGGTTGAAACCCCCTACACCCTACACCCTAAAGCAACTCTCAATCTACCCAAAAATAGAGCCAAGTCCTGGTTGATCTGCTTGATCGTGCCATAAAGCACCTGACTCCAAGATAGGGTGCAAAAGGGGACATGGCTATTGCTACCTTTTGGGACCTGAATAGTTAGAATAGGGTTTATCAAGTAGACTGGCTTTGCATCGACCAACTCCTCGAAAGTGTGAACCTCTACATTAGAGTCCCTCTTAAAGGGTTCCTCAGAGGCATCTATCAGGGTTTCTACAGGGCTTATATGAGTGTACTATATGGGTAGTTCTCTAAACTAAGGTCCCTTTTTGGGTCCCCAACGTAGTACGGCACCCTTATAAAAAAGGACCCGAAAAGGGACCCTAATTTAGACAACTACCCACATGGCTTTATGAAATATTTACGGAGGCTTATCGGATTGTCGGCTTTGTAATTCGAGTTTACAATGCGTGAACCAGAATCCCAACAGCCCATAGAGGCTTTCAATGGCTTTAAGCGAACATGTATATGGCACTAGAAGCGATTTGCAAAGCTCCAGGTTCAGAATGTTCAAGTTCGACGCGGGACCTTCGGCTTACTTGGGGAAGAACGGCAACACTGAAGTCTCCGCGTTCTGCACGGTTTACGCTTTAGTATTTCGGATTTACGGTTGGGGAGTCAGTGTTTAGGGTTGAGGGTTCAGGATTAAGGGTTTGCCTTAACCCCAAACCTAGTTTTTAAGGATGTATATATATATATATATAAAATGAAATCGTTATAAGGAACTCTAAAGAGGTAGGTTCTTTAGGGTCCGGGAGGGTTTAGGGGACATCTGGTGCGGACCGGTTTAGTGCAACCTTTGGTGTTTCGACTCCTCTTGGGTTCCGGTGGGTTTATGACAGGGGCGCATAAGACAAGGGCGATGTGGCTTGCAACCTAAAAACCCAAGCCCAAGTACGAGACAAAATCAGGTTTTAGGCCTAAGATTTAAAAGCTTTCATAATCTAAGCCCTATGGTTCTGGACCGTCGCAAAAGATTAAGGATAGTTCGGGGTGTAGTGTAGGGTTTGGAGTTTTGTGTAAGTAATTATCATCACTATATAGTTACCTTATTTATAACCCTAGTTACTTAGTCCCATGGTCTATACTATAGCATACCCACAAACCCTAAGCTCTACTTGCTGACTCCCATAGTCCTCAAAGTAGTTTCTGTCCCTTCTCACCTGGTTCGGACTCGGCAGTGGGGCAGCACCCATTCCGGGATGAGACATGCCCATTCCACCCATGCCTGCGAAGTGTTGGCAAGGGCTTGTTGCGAGGCTCAGGGTTCAGGAATTGAGGTCTACTATGCTATACTGTACCATAATACAATATGCTAATAGAGGCAATTACGGCTTAAGTCTTAGCCTTCTGGGTTGGCCTTCTAGGTTGAATGAGGCCATCATTAAGCCAAAAGCTAGTGCAGTGAAGCCCGCTCCTACACTTCTCATGTCTGTTTGCCGGCTTCAGCTTGGGTTTTCTCATAGAAATCTGAGACCGTAAAGCATAATGTGACAGGCCTGTGACAGGGACCATGGGAGCACCGAGCCTGGGCAAGTTGATCGGAGAAGCGGCTTAGAGTTTAGACTACATGGCGAGAACCAAAAGAGACTCAGACAGAAGATTCAAGGGATAACAGAACATGAGGCATCTCGTCAACCCGTCTAAGGGCTAAGGGTTTGGGGCTTTGTGGGGTTCTGAGCAGCTTCACTATCACTCTTTGGATCCTAGTCCGAGCAGTTGGCCTATTGAAGCCTTGACAGCCCAAGATAGCAGCGGCTTCAACGTAAATGAAAGGCATCTTGGCAGGTTTGGGCGTGTTTCGGGTTTGTAGGGTTCGTTTACGTTTCTTCGCATCTTTCTTTGTTTCCATACTTGGGCTTTCGAAGAAAAGGCTGGAATGCACGTAAAGCTGGGGCTGGGACTGTGACATGTAGCCGCCGCCACCGCCGGCCATGTAGCCACCGCCACCGCCGCCGCCCATGTAGCCGCCGCCACCGCCGCCCATGTAGCCACCGCCAGCGCCGCCCATGTAGCCACCACCAGCGCCGCCCATGTAACCACCGCCAGCACCCATCTGCGCGTAACCTCTCCAGGGCAGAAGATTTATTGCAGGAGCAAGGGCCGTGAGCAAAAACCGTGACGGGCTTAACTGGATCCTATACCATTTGCTTAAGGCGTACATATATGGTGAGCTCCTCCCTAACAGCAGGAGCCAGCGAAAGGCAAGGAATTGTGTCTTTAACTTTCACGTCTCTGCTGGGGGTCGTCTGCCGAATCCAGGTAGCGAGGAGCCTTAACAGAAGGAGAAGAACACCCAAACTCCAATCCTGAAGCCTTAAAATCACGAACCTCGCGGACAGCTGTGTGAATAGATGACAGGATCTACCGAGCACATACATCCCCAGAGACTCCAATATTCCTTAATTAAGGAATATTCCTTAAATTATAGTAGGATCCTTAATATGATTTAAGGTATATTCCTTAATTAAGGGATATTGGAGTCTCTGGGTCCTCGACCCTGGACTCCACAGAGCTGCCTTGACTTCCTAAGCTTGCCCGGAGCTCATCACGA